AAAAAATAGACACATTTCCATTGTCACTGTGTATGATGTTAGCTTCTATTTGTTTTTTTTACTTTTTCATTCATATATTCATTTTAGAATGGAAATCAGTAATCAACACTTGCAGAATAAAACAGTAGGTTTTCTTTTAAAAATCCAAAGACTAGAACATATTTGGTTCTGTTCTCCTAAATTTATGGAGATAAAATTTCTCTTGGTTTTCTTCTAAAATTGCACTGGATAGACAAATACTATAGTAGATAAAATAGTAACTGGTTGAGATTTGACAAATATTGAATGTGTATTATACTTACTGGTGAACATGAACTTGATCTCTCCCTAATGTTCCTATTCTTGATTCCTTTTTAACTTGAGAAAAGCTTGGTAATCTTATAAACCACGATTTGTAGGCTTCCCTGGTTCTTTTATAGATGTGTGCTAATTCACTGAATACAGTTTATTTGCTTTCTGAACACAGTTTAGGAATTCTTTCCCTTCCTCCTCAATGCTAGGAAACAAGGGAGGAATCTTTATGAGTTTTATTTCCTTCCAGGGAATTCACTTTGTGTGAGTAGGTGTAACAGGACTATAGATCTTCAAGCAGGCTGGGTGGGAGATACAGTATCTAAGCTGCCAGATTTCATGGCTTGTGATTTTAGAAAGGTCTTATCTCCTGGTGCAGAAGACTAATACTTTGTAGAATTCATATTTTCAGGAACTGTTGAGCACTGGCTGATTTTATTGGCTATCAAACCTTGTTTAGAAGCTTATTAAATAATTACTTGACTTTTAAACCTACCAGATAATCAATTATGCGTGATTATGAGTATTTATTCTAAATTTTTTGAAAAATATAGGGAGCATATAGTATGTAATCTCACCATACCCAAGCTTAACTTCTAAATTTTTGGTGGTGTTCTTCAAGAGACATTCCTCCAAGTATGTCCTTCCTTCAAAACTGGGCTCCCAAGGTTAAGGGCTCTGGCATTATTAGCCACGTGCTTGGGAGGAAGGTCTTATGCATCTGCAAGATGGAAAAGACAAGGCTTTCCTCATATAACTGTGAGGTTCTAACAATATTTACATGTGAGGCATTTGACCCAGCATTTAGTATGTATTCCAAAAAGGCATTCATTCTTATACACAGCACATAATTTGGTTCTTCTTTTCTCATTGAACACTTTCTAAAAATTTCTCCAAGTTATTGAGTGATCTCTGTGCCCATTAATTTTAGTGACAAAAGTCCTGCCACCATGACAATGCATGTTGTAATCCCCTGAAGATGGACAGTCAAGCCATAAATAAGTTTTGTTGTGTTCAAATAATAGCTGAATTGAGAGCAACTCAGGTACACCCTTGTAATGATGGCAATTGAGAGGCTGAGCAGGGGGATCTTGAGTTCAACGCCAGCCTGGGCAACATAGTGAGAGCCTGTCTCAGAAAACCAACTGAACTAAACTCAAAACCAAAATGAAACAATACTTCCAAACCAATTCTATTCCAAAATGAAACAACCCAGAAGTAACCAAACAAGTTAAACCAAACCAAGCATCCCAGCATCTCAAACAAATAAAACTCCCCCCAAAAAGGAGAAAATAAAATGACATCCACATTGCTAGACACTTAATAAAGTTTAAACTGGGGAAGTTGGTTCATTCAAGAATCCCAGTACTCAAGAGGCAGAGGCAGGATGATTACCAAAAGAACCGGGGATGCATAGCATGCATGAGGCCAGCCAAGGCCATGCAACAGATATTGGGATATAGGTCAGCTTTCAGCTTTAAATATTCCAGTTTCCAGTTCATTCTTTATTTTGTTAATTTGTAGCTCCTTCTAGGAAATGTATTTTATGGACACAAATATATAAATATGCAAATATTCACATAGTTAAAATTATATATGCAACACAATGGGTAGATTTACATGTACTATGTGTATATATAAAATATAGAATATAATATATGTGTATAAATAAAATATAGAATATAATAAATAGATTTATATACAGATGCATTTACCTGGAATTGTGTTGTATAGTCTATTGGAAGGGATAGAAAATAGTTTGTAAAACTTCCTTTTCTGAAATAGTTTTGAAGATCTTTTCTGTTTTTCACTTTTATTATTTTGGTTTTCCTTTCCCAATTAGTGCTGCCTATAAGCTATTGGGTATGTAGCCATTCACTGGAGCATGGTGGGCCTACCAAGAGCCGCACCCTTAAAGAAAACTAACTCCTCCTCTCCCAGCAGCTATCAATTATGAATTACTCTTCCGTTAGGGGTGGAACTTCATGACCACCTCCCTGCTCCATGGTAGGATGTTGTCTTGCTTGTGCTTGAGCAGGACTTGTGCATATGATCACAACTGCCATTGGTTTACACGCACAGCTGCCATGTATCTGGAAAACATTGTTTCTTTGTAGTCACTCCCCCTATTTCTTTTGGCCCTGTGTTCTGCAATGGGAAGAAGGAGTGTGACATAGATGTCCCATTTAGGGCAGAGCACTCTGCAGTTCCATTATCTGCACCCTGGCCAGTTGTGTGTCTCTGTTATCACTGCAAAAAAGAATCTTCTCTTATGAAACTAGGAAGATGCACTAATCTACAGGAACAAGTCATTAGGAGTCTGTTTAACATCTGTTTAATATAACATATATTAATGAATGTTATCAGACTAACAGTTGTATTTTCCCCTCTGTATGGGATCCATCCTGTGGCTTGGACCTTAAATGTCATCAAAAGTGGTTGGTAATTCCAATGATATTCGTGCCGCTCTTGCACAAGTGGGCAAATCTTGTCAGGCCAGATGTTATTGTAGGCCACAGAGTTCACAGCTGGATAACAGTGATGATTACTTTTCTCTTTTTGTATTTTACGTAGTACCTTCCAATACTATGAAAGCTAGTAAACAGGGATGAAGCTTCCTGATGACTACCAGCTTGATATCTCCATATTTTATTACTCAAGTATGTGATGTCCTCAGAAATAGATGTTTTCTATCTCTCTCTACTCTAGCTCCAAATCTTGAGATTTCCATAGAATTTAAGGTATGCTTGAGTTAGCACCAACAACAGAGAACACATTTTTTTTTTTTTTAAATTGAGATATAATGACTGTTGCTGCTCAGGACCTTGAGTATGTTGTCTTTCTGATTTTACTCTGTGAAACAATTTTCAAAAAATACCTAGGCCACAAGAGGCTCAGAATCCTCTTGATTATGTCGACTTTGGAACTGGTGGTGTGCCGGTAGCTTGGAGCTGGGCAGAGTGTGCTGAGCCACAAGGCAGCAGGTGCTCTCAACAGCCTGCACTGAGAATCAGTGGTGTATGAGAGATCATGTTCTTCAGAATTTAATCACAGCTTTCCTTGCCAGCTGTGGTTCTAGCCAAGCAGAGGAAGCCTCATACTCATTATTTCCAAATTTGAAAAAAATAATGAGGATTAAATGAGATAACGCTTGTGTTAGTGCATAGTATTAGCTGTCACTGAGCCTGGCAGAGTTAATGCCCAGCCAGTGGTAATTGCTGAAGTAATCAGGACCTTTTCATGTACTTGGGACAGAAAGCCACACTCAGATTAGCTTGTGTAACATTCAAAATAAATTGGCTTACATAACCTAAAAAAAGTCTTACTTAAATCCTTGAGGGACTTACTCTTCCCTAGATCTAGATTCAGGGGACTTAATCAAGCCAGCTCTTTGACTTCATCTTTCAAATTTTCTTTCTGCTACTTAAAAAAAAGTTCTCAGACAAATTATTTCTAGAATTTTCAAGCTCTCTCAGTAACTCCTGCTGGTGTTCTCCTTAAAGTTAGAGATCTCAGAAGGACAGAGTGTATTAATTGTAGAAAAGCCTCAAGGAAAGTTAAAATTGGTTAAGTTGGGGTCATATGACAGTTATCCAATCAATCCAATCCCTTAGGCCAGGATAATGCATTTCTCTGACTGTGTAGAAAAGGCGATGTATCTATCCTTCATGCTCCTGCTGCTGGGCCTTTGTCACTATGATGGACTCTGCCATCTTGGATCTGTGAACCAGAATAAACTTTTCTCCTTTAAGTTGTATTGGTCCGATGTTTTGCTGAGGCAACATGGAAAGTGGCAAAGGTGTCATGTAATCAACACACACACACACACACACACACACACACACGACCACAGTTTTAAACTTTGGTCATCTTGAAGAAAATTCTACGTTTCGGTTCAGTTTTCTGTGAAAGGTGGTATACAGAAAGAAATGGATTCAGTAAGTACATGAAGAACTTCATAACTCTAAAACATACTTAGTCTGCAATGTTATAGACAAAATTAAGGTATATTCCTCAATGAAGTTGAAGGTAACAAGAATCTACATACATATGAAGCATCTATGGAAAACTCCCCAGAAAAGTTGCAAAAGTCCCTTTTAGTACAGCTGATTAAATGTAAGTTGCCTCCTGTGTTCATCTGAAACTGTATTGAGTTCCTAGAGTAAGGCAAGCAAGGTCTAATTAGTAAGGATGTGTTCTATATGAGGTAGTGATGTAATGAGCTGCCAAGTCCATGTGTGACTGAGAAGCTATTGCTAGAGAACATGGGACGATTACTTGATGATCTTATCTACAGAAGAGGAAAGACAACATAGACATTTTTCCGGCTGTGTCCCAGAACATGCTTGGGAGGCATTGGGTGCTGCTATCTGACTCTGCAGCACCCTTGCTGGGTCTCTATACCCACTCCTTTCGCTATTACCACTGCCAACAACTGGGAAATGGTTCTGGGAAAGATAGCACATTTTTCTGAGTTTTTAAATGTCTAATTGCTTAAAATTCATGATCGTGTGTCTTACAACCCAAATATAATTTGGTATGATTATTTTTCTTCTTCTTATGGAAAAAGAAATAGAGGTCAATTGCCCAACATTATGCAACAACTAATGAGTGCCCTAGGGAAGACCCCAGCTCAGGTCTACTCAATTGCAAAGTCCATACCTGCACTCACATCAGCCTTTCTGAAGATTATTTTGTCTCCTTTGTAGCTTCTTTAACGATCAGGCTAAAAGCAAATCCATATACTACCATGAGCAAGACTAAAGCCATGACCCATTGCCACTTCGTCAAGACATCATCTGTTGTGGAGGCTGCTTTTGCAGTGGCTGACTGTGCTCATGTGGTCCCTACTCTTGCCCTCCAGCCACCAGCTCTACTTTCTCCAAGGTAAGCACTAGCGATCCCTTTAGTGCAGCCTATGTGAATCTTTAAAATCCCATTATTGGTTTCTGAAGGCTTCCATCCATCACCCCCTGATGATAAATCTCTAACGAGGCATTCGCCCCTCCTTTCACTTTCAGATTCCCTCACCCTCAATAAATTTCTTGGTGAAGCCACAATTAATCTCGAGGAACGCATTAACCTTGTTCATATCAAAGTAACCCTGGAAGTTTTGCAGTTTCACCTGCGATGAGCGCTGGGAACTTCACACTGGAGGTCTCTCCTTTCACCATACACAGAAGGGTAAGGATGAACATTCTTATCCCTGCTTCCATTTATCTCTGCTCCCTAGCCAGGCTTGACTGTCTCCAAGGCTTGCTGGTCTCCGAGTGTTTAAACAACTGGCTAATCAGCCAGCATTTTCCCTCTCTTCTCCACTTATCCTCTAATAAAAACTCCTTGCATCCCTCCCTGCTCTGAAGTGTCATTGTCCAATAAATTAATTTGTATTAAAAATTTAAATCCCTCAAGTTGTATGCAAAATTTAAAGCTTTTATTCAATCCATTAGAGGGGAAAAAAAAGCCTTGCTTGGTGTTCGAGTGACTACATTTTCCTGCAAAAAGCATCCTCTTTTTGCATTCAGAAATTCAGCTAACTCTCAGTTGCTATGCTTCCAAAGGTAAGAAGGTTGATTAGTTCATCAAGATTCTGCCAGAATCCCTTCAAATAGCACAGTTATCTGGGAGCAGACGGCCAGGCAGGGATAGACATGCCCAGGTTCTGAACACAAGCCTTTACATGGTGTGTGATTGGTAGGTGACAAGGGTACTTCTTATCACTCATCTGGATTCCCCTTGCTCATCTGCCATGAGACTTGAGCTCGCAGCCTTTTAAAATAATGGTATTTCAAATTCAGGCTTTAGAAGCATCTTGGAAGCATATGCAAATTATCTGAGGAGGACATCTTTCCAGCCATCAATAGTCACTAACATCACATTGAGGCTTGGTTTTGACTTACGTTCACAGCCCCTAGAGTATAGGAAGAAATGTTAGACAGTGACATGACTTTTGGGTGGGACGGGTTATCTGCAAAGCTGGATGTTAGTCCACATGTGGAGGGCGTTCAGGAGAATCAGAATGAAGGCTGTGTGGGTTTGCGACATAAATGAATTGGTGGAAGAAGAATACTTATAAAGTTGAAGCGGGCAGAGAGTGTGGGAAGAAGCTGAAGTGTATATGTCTATTTTTCAATTTTGTTGGAGGCTCAAACTTATTTTTAAAATGGATAACTTAAAATCAATACTTGTTTCTCTTCCTCTTATGACAGGAAACTGCAACAGAGAACAAAGTGAAGACATGAGGTGTGTGATTAAATTGGCCCGGCAGTATGTGTTCCTCACGGAATTTCCTAACCGAAGCTGTAGATCTAATGAAACCACAATGATGTGCAGGTGTCAGATGGGAGTTTTTCCCAGGCTCCCTATAAGAGCAGACCCTTTAGGTTCAGTTAACTGACATGTTTTATTAATATAAAGCCTCAAAAATGTAGGTTAGATGAAAGGAAAAGAGAATAGGGACTTGATAGTGTGAGTATTTTTTTAAAAATAACTTTTATTGAACCTATTCTTTGATGATTTAATAATGTAGATAGTGCATTATGATCTCTGTAACTCCCCTCTCATCTTCTCCCATTGGATTTACTACCCTTTCTCACATTCATGTCTTTGTTTTATTTTGAGGCCCATTGAGTTTAATCAGTTTCTCCTTTGTGACCACTGGTTTGGAGTTATCCATTGGACCCTGTTGTACACATTTCAGTGGGTACATAGTTGAAAGTAATGAATGCTTCTCCACAAGAATCTATTAGCAGCAAATAGTTGAGCAGGGATGAGTAGGGCCCCATGGGCCCTCCTTGATCATCCATTGGCTGTTGACAGGCCCAGTCTTTTGTTAGCCCCACATTGCAGGCAGACACAGCTGCTCTGAGTTTGAGTTTGTGTTTGCAATGGTTGCGCCACGTCCAGAAGGCTGTATTCCTCAGCCTTTCTCCCTAGCTTATGGCCCCCACATTCTTTCTGCCCCATTTTCTGTGATGTTCCCTGAGCCTGAGAGGTGGTATAAATGTCCTGTTTAGGGTTAAGCACTCAAAGTCATTCTCATCATGAGCATCCATGTGTCTCTACATCAGCTGTGGCTCATTGCTGTTTCTCTGATGAAGGTTGGAGTAGCGTTTGTCTATGGGTATAAACGAATGTTTAGATGGCAGTTTGAAGCCATGTCAGTTTAGCTAAACAAGAGAAGTAGGTGGACTGTAGTGCCTAAGACCTCCTCAGCCACTATTTTTCACGCAAATCCCTCTTGTGAAGCTGGCAATGAGTGCAATCAGAGTGACTGTTTACCCTCTAACCCTATAGTAAGCTACTACTTTACCAGTAGGAACATCCTTCCTGGCAGATCAGTATCATCATTTATAGGGTTTGAAGTGGGAAAAGACTTCCTTCTCATCCAGCACCCTGTGTGGTGCCTTCTGGGACTACCAGAGAGGAAGCATCCAGATCATTCCAACTTCATATCTCTGTGTCTTGCAACTAAGGTGGGTGGTGTGTCCAGCAATAGGCTCTTATCAACCAGCTCTGGTGGGCAGCCCAGAGGAAGGCAAGAGTCAGCATTGCCTGGGGACCTGTGGGAACTCCCCGTGTGTCATATGAACCACAGCAGATCAGCCACTACTTTAATCTAATTGCTGGTCTGTGAGAAGACAGCCATAAGAAAGGTCAAGTGGCCAAACCTGGGACCTTAAAAGTTCTATTATTAGTTATGAGAGCTAGTTGATAAAATGAGAGCTATTATTATTGAGAAAAAATCAGTGAGGTGGAGTAAGAAGAAAACACAAAAGATGAATATCTAGAAATCCAATAGCAGTGACTCTGTTTTTTTTTCCTTCTTTTTTTCTTTTTTTTGTAGACACAGTCCAAGAGTTCCCGAACAATTAAATAGCAGAAAGTGACAGAGAATTTAGTGGTCAGAATTTTAAAATAGGACTCAGTAATTCTGAATAACCTAATAGAAATCTACGTGAATAGATGATCTTAAAATGAACATGCAATGAGATTCTGACATAATGAAAAAAGATAATTTTCTATAACAAATAAATGCTGGGACTCCAATCTTGGGCTCATTTCCCTAAGGTCTTAGGATGGTCGTCTTTGATCCCTTTGGACTGTCCTTGGCATTTTCTGTGGTTCTGTAGTTGGGGGCGCTGGTTATTTTAAGTCTACTTGACACAAACCAGAATCACCTCGAAAGAGGGAAACCACGCGTGAAAATTGCCTTCATCTGAGGCAATTTCTTGATGACGGATGTGGGTGGGCCCAGCTCACTGTGGGCGGTGCCATCACTGGGCTTTGTACAAGAAAGCAAGCCAAAAAAAAGGGGCGTTTCTCCATGGTCTCTGTTTCCAGGTTCCAGATGCGCTTGCGTTCCGGCTTTTGCTTCCCTCCACGAGTGACTGAGACATGAAAATGTAAGTCAAACAAACGCCTTTCTCCCCAAGTTGCCTTTTGATCATGATATTTATCACGGCCACAGAAAGCAAACTCGAACAGGGTGGCAGAAATGGGGGTAGGCGGCTAGCCACAGCGCCACAGAATCATTTTAAAGCTTGAATTTGTTCTGTTTTGTCTTTTTGTTATTGTTAGTTTTAGATGCCTGTTTGTATTCTCATGAGAGAGAGAGGGTGTGGATTGAGATGATGGGGAGTGGGGAGGGGCTGTGGAAGGGGAAGCCATAAACTTGGATTTAATTTTATTTTAACTTGTTATTATCTTTTTTTGGTAATTTCATCCACAAATACAATGTATTTAGGTGGTATCTATTCTCTCTCCCCCCTCCAAATCCTCTTCTTGCCCCCCCCCCATGACCACACCCATACCCTCTCTCCAACTACTTAAGTTACCCATGTTGGTTAATCCACCACTGCTGAGACTCCACAGGCTTCCCCTTTGTATTCACAGCTGTCTCCTACCCACATCAACTCCCCTGTATTTTTGATAATGACTGATTTATTCACCATCTCTACATTTACGTCATTTGAGAGTGTGATATGAATGGAATCATAGAGCATGTGAACTTTTGGATTTGCTTTCGAATCCACAAAATGACTCTAAATTCCAACCAAATTTTATGTTTCAGCATTTAATGGAAACTCATTTTTAACTGTGGAATAATAGTCCATGGATGTTCCACATAGTAACCAACGTCTTATAAGGGGATATTTTAGTTGTTTCTAGTGTGTGAATATTAAAAATATAACTTAAGTTTCTATTAAACATACACACAAACAAACAAACAAAAATCTAAGCTATTTAGGGCAGTGCTCTTGATATAGGAAAACAGGAAACAAAACCAGGATTTTTCAAGGTTTTGTGAGGTGCCTGGCTTATGAGCTCTCCTTTATGGTCTTCATCTCTTTTCACGAAGCAATATTAATGGGCCCAGCTTACAGGCCGCAGAACTGAGGCTTGACACTGCTGTTAGATAGCACTCACTACCTCCAGCATTTACAACTGGGAACCGTCTTTGAGACTTGAGCAATTCTAGTTTGCTAATTATATCAGGTTTTATGGATTTGCACTTAGAAGCTCAGTATCGAGTCTTCCATGTGTCACCTGTGAGGCACAATTCAAATTCCTACCAACTTAGTTATTAAGTATCGTGAGCATCATTAGTGCCTGCCAAGTGCTGCTGTTCTTCTAGAAGCCAGGGTGAGCAGATGAACTGATAAAACCTCTCCAGATTATAGAACACACGTCCTAAAATAAGATGGTCACCAGGCCTGTTTCTATGTCTATGGCTGTCCAATGTGATATGCCTGACAAAAATTATACCCATCTCCTCATGAGACTCCATCCTAGCCAAGGAGCTGTTGGCAGTTGTTGGTTGCTGGAGTAGGTTTCCTTTCCTTCAGTGGTGTAGCTATTGATAAGTTACCCAAGCTCCTATAGGGAACTAACCTATAATAACACCCTATAGGGTGTGGAGGCCAATCTAATCAAACTCAGCAGGTAGGATTAAGAAAAAAAGAAATGAAAATAGGAAGAAAACTGGTTGGGAAGAAAAAGGGGTTCAGAAGGAGAGGTAAGATGTGATAATGGGGGTAAATATGATAAAAATACATGGACACATATATGAAATTATCAAGGGATAACTAAAAATATTTTCAGCATGGAGAAAATACTCTGGTCACTGAGATTCCTAGACCATACCTGGCATACAGCGGTTGTCAATAACTGGCATACAGTGGTGCCCAAAATTAGAGCATAAGAAGAGATCAGGAGGAGAGGAAAGGAGGCAGAGGAGAGATGTGAATATTCACTGGAATGCTTGCTGCAGGAACCCATAGGTGGCTCTTGTTACAGATAACCCAGCTGTATTTGGGGACAGAGAAGACCAGAATATTGCCAGAGACTGACATTTTTAGCTCAACTCCAGGGGATATATTACTGGAGAAAAAGAAACTCTAATCTATGAAGCTTTGAAAACCATTGCTTTATATTTGGGGATAGATGGCAGGACACATGGGGTGGTCACAGAAGTAGTAGGCGAAGCGAGTGATGTGGACAGGCCTGAGACATTCACACACAGATCCAGGAATGTTCACATTCGAATCAACATTAGAGCTTATTCGTCACCTTTCTCTTCTTCTTTCCTCCTAAGAAACAAAATTCTGTAGTGTTGTGACACCATGTGACCATAACATGGAATCAGATTGTAGATTCAACCCTAACCATGCTGCTGGCCATGGTGGTGCATTGGCTTTTATGATATGTATGTAGTGTGTGTGTGTGTGTGTGTGTGTGTGTGTGTGTGTGTGTGTATGTGTGTGTGTGTGTGTGTGTTTGTGCACACATTCGTATGTGTGTGCATGTGTAGGTTTATTCAGTTACCGAGGTGGCAGAGCTGATTTGAAAATGGCATTTTTCCTGTTGTGAGCATGATGAGTCAATGTTTGCCCCCATCTCATGTAGGGAAACAATAGCCATTTAATTTGGTTGAAATATCAAGATTTGCCAAGATTATTAATGACAGAGACCAAATCTCTCTCTCTCTCTCTCTCTCTCTCTCTCTCTCTCTCTCTCTTCACACACACAAACACACACACAGTGAGAGCGAGTGAGTGTGCATGTAAGAGAGAGAGAGAAAGAAGAAGAAGAAGAAGAAGAAGAAGAAGAAGAAGAAGAAGAAGAAGAAGAAGAAAAAGAAGAAGAAGAAGAAGAAGAGGAAGATGTCTTACTCAACAGTGGGAGATGTTTTTGTGCTAGAGTTTGATTTTTGCCAACCTCAGTAGCAGACAGAAATAGTAGTCAGGAACTAATGCTTCTATTTCACAGGTGAGCACTTATCCTTGACTGAGCCGCATTGCTTACCTAAGAGCTACTGAGTGATGGTCACTGAATGTCCTCCTAACTGGTGATTGGTGTTTTCTCTTCATCGCCGGGTTACGAGTGGTAGGCAGCACATTGTCTCAGTGGAAAGTCCATTCACAGAGGATGTGAAGCACAGTGGGGAGTCTAGGATGGTAGTAATCTTTGTGATTCCAGGTGCACCATCATTACTCTATTTGGTCTTCCCATCATATCTTCATTTGGACCACACTACAGCCTTCATGTCCAACACACTGGTTCAGGGCAGATGGATGAGCATTCTGATGCTCCCTGAAGGGGTTCATCTCACAACAGCAGCTCCACTAGCTGCCTCTGTAGAACCCTTGAGCAATCAGATATTCTAGGTAAGATATTCATAAACTATCTTAAACTTGAGAGAAAGGAAACAACCCACCTCATTCAAACCACAAAGACAATTTGGTGCCTGCAATGGCCTCTAACGACTCTGTTCCTGAGTCTGCTAGAAGTGGAAGGCTACACCCACTGATGCGAGGATGCCTACTATTTATAGAGCACTTATTTATGTCTGCATCACATTTAAATATAAATTGCGACACTTAATGCCTGGTTTTATAACATGTCATTCACAATCCATTAAGTATTTTATTGCATGAATTGTATAAGAAACAGATTTATAGCCCTCAATTATGGCATTAATAAGGGATGATGGAATCTCGCTGAAGATGTATTTCCCTTTAGTTTCTGCAGAACTTTATTGTTGCAGCAAGATGTGAATTAGATTCTTAATGTTTTATAATAAGACTGGAAGCCAGTGCTCGGATAGGCAGAAGGTGTAAGAAAAACTTTAATATCCTCCCTGATGATTGTGGCTTTAAAACTGGGGCAGAAATAATACTGATCGCATATGTTGGGTATTTTAAATCAACTTGGAAAATTCAAGTTAGGTTTGGCCTGAGGGTATATGGTTGTGGCCTAAAATGCCTCTTTCTAGGTAAGAGCCCCAAGAACCCACAGCAAGGTAACTTGCTTTTTGTTGTTACTGTTGTCATGAGAATAGATATTCCCAAATTACATTCCTATTATATGTATTAAGGGGAATAAAAGTAACATCTTATCTTTAATTTCTAGAGGGTGTGGGGGATGATTGATGACTGTGAAAGGGATAATACACATGCCTGTAATAGAATTAAAAAGCAAACAATATAAAAGGAAAAGGACAAAAGAGGAGAGGGACTGAGGTTAGAGAAACAACTCAGCCCAGAAGATCAAACAAAGAACACATCTGGGAGGTTAGGTTCCAGGGATGGAGCACTGGTGTTAGCAAACATTCCATGAGTTCAGAGAATTGAAGCATGCCCAGGATGAAGCAGAAGAAAGGCCTAGGGAGAGCCGGTTTGTGTGTGTGTGTGTGTGTGTGTGTGTGTGTGTGTGTGTGTGTGTGTGTGTGTGTGTGTATGTGTGTGTAACACCTGAACTTTCTGAGTCAGAAGAGAATGCTCTTTCAGTGGTAAATAGTAATAATGTTAAATGTAGTGGTGTAGCTAGCGCCAACAGCTCTTGGGCTACATTTTCTGCCAGTACTCTTGAAACATTACCTGGAAGAGGGAGCTTGGAACATTTCCAGGACACGACCACCTAGCTGCTGTTGGTATTTCCCAGGCAGAAACCACAAGCAGTTTTATGGTTTGAGCACTCAGTGGAGATTAGGAGTGATCAGGTGCAGTCTCTACCCTGGGAAGCGTGCGAGTCTGCATACTGCCCTCCAAGCGTGATGTCTGTAGCATGCAACACAGGTGCTCTGGAGCCTTCTGGTTCTTCCCTAAGCAGGAGGTCTGCACTGAGAACTCAGAGGACCAGTTTTACTGCCGACACTGAGGAGTTTGGACCATTTAAAATGATTGACTGACATTCATAAACACTGATTTGCATCTCGTAGTTAAAGGGTTGTCTCCACTCTTTCTATTTGTGAATGGTGTGTGCCAATTAAGTCAGATTTCTTTGCTGAAGGGAATCATTCAGACTGACTGACAATGGAGTCACTTATATTTCCTTTGTATCATTTAATATAAAACAACAATGAAGGTCTCTTAGTACTTCCAATGACTCATTCTCTTTTGCTGTGGACACGATGAATTTCATTCATTAATTTCTGTTCTAACATACTTTCAATACAGTGATGGTGGTGGTTCATTATCAACTAAGAGCTTTGCCGCAGTGCATTTAATGCTTCTTATGTAAGGTACAGCACAATTTAGTGGAAATAACTTGGGCAGTCATGAAATGCAGGCTTAGAGCAAACTTTAGAGATCAATTGTTGGAAATTCAATCCTCTTTTTAAAGTATGAGATTGAAGCTCAAAGATACAGGGTAGCTTGCCCAACACCATTTAGTGAACTGAAAGAAGTTTTAGTAGTAAAATCCAGTGATGTGTGTTACTTTGAACTGCATGACAGGCATTTTTCTAAGACCATGCCTAGGTGACTGGAGAGATTGCTCAATGGTTAAGAGTACTGACTGCTATTCCAGAGGACCTGGGTTTGATTTCCAGCACCCACAGGACCAGGATGCTCACCACCATTTGAAACTCTAGTTCCAAGGGATCAACCTCTTCTTTGGCTTCTGGAGGTACTAAGCACACTGGTGATGCATAGACATACACGTTAGACAAAATACCACATAATATTAAAAATAAAAAGACGGTTCAGATATTAGTTAACATAGTCTCTAAGTATTGTAGGTAGTAGAGCTAGACAATCCTTATTCTAAAGATGGACGCCTGAGACATTGATTGTCTCCAAATCACCCAGCAAGGAAGTAGGAGAGTAAAGAGTGAGACCCAAGGGAGTCAATCTATAGGATTGTCATGTGCCAATCTTGAAGATAATGACTTTGAGTCCAGTATACTTCCCACTATCTTTCATAGATTTGGAAATTTATTTTAGGCCTTCTCATAGTCCCTTTACAAAAACAAGTAAAAATATTTTGTATCACCCTAAACAGGTTGGAATTATGTAGCATCCCTGCTTATATAAGAACAAATTAGATTCCTAGAAATGTTACTCCTTTAGTCGGTAAGCCAAATCAAGCCAGAGGGGAACTCTGTCACTTTATCCATCCCTGAGGTGTGAAGAGTTGATGACTTTTAGCTTGCAATGGCTGTATCAGCCTGTACCACATTGGTCTAGCCTCCGTCTCATCACTTTTCCAAAACCAGGACTCACATTCCTGCACAGAGAAAGTGCCTCTCAGATGAATTTTTCCTAGCTCCCACATGACATGGGACTAGTGTTAAGCCCCTCCACGGAGCTAGTCTTCGGCTCAGTGGTATTCTAGTCTGCAGCTTTGTTCTCATTGGATTTAGCGCCTGACTAATGTTTCTGCCAATTCCACAGACCCTAATTTTCATACTTCTTTATTAATTCCCCACTGTGGATGATGAAATAGTTATATTTTTAAACTTAAGTAGTCAACTGTGTCATAGTCCACAGGATCCAAAAATTTGTCAGAGTCCCAATTCTAAAGATTTGTTTTGTACAGGTTCATATATATGTGTATGTATATATATATATATATATATGTATATATATATATATATATATATATATATGAAATATAATTACATCACTTTCCCCTTCTCTTTCCTCCATCTAGCCCATCCCAGATACCAAATACCCCCTCCAATTCATCCCCCCACTTACAAGTTTTCTTTTATTGTCACCCCCATCAGGTATGCACCAATACATACAAATACAACTTTCTGAGTTTGTCTTTGTTGTTTCTGTATATATACTTTCATGGCTGATCACTTTGCACTGGACAACTAATAAATGGGCTCATCTTTGGGAGAAGCTAACTCTCTCCCTCAGCAGTCATCAGTTGCCTATATTTTGTCAAGGGGTGGGACCCTGTGAAACTTCCCCCTTCCATATTAACATATCTATTGATATGCCACTGTTTTGATCTTGTTTATGCAGCCACTTCTATGAGAGACTGTTTCACAGTGTACGTCCTGGTATTCTGGTACTTACAGCCTTCCCACCTTCTTTTCTACCATGTTCCTTGAGCCATAGATATAAAGCTATGGTGCAGAGGTAACCATTGGGGCCTGGCTCTCCACAATGCATTGATCTCTGCATTGTGCCCAGTTGTGTTTTTCTGCGATGGTCTACAGTAGTGAAGAGAGGCTTCCTTGATGAGGAGTAGTCACTACACTTATCTGTGGGTATGAGCATAAGATTTAGAATGTAGTGAGGAATTATGCCGGTCTAGCAAAGTGACAATAGCAGATTATTTTCTAAGGTCCATGACTAGCTCACTAGCTTTAGAATCTGGTTAGGTTTTCTAGTACCAGGAATGATTTCCCTCCTGTTGAGTAGACCCAGAAAGACAAACATTGCATGTTCTCTCTGATCTGTGGTTCTTAGCTGCAAATTCTTAGATATGTGTGTGCAACATAGAGTCGCCACAAGAAACAGTAAAGTATAAGGGGACCCTAGGTGTGTGTATGTGTGTTGAGATGGAAATAACAGGATACAGGTTGTGTGATGTAGGAAAGTAGAAAAATGGGGAGAGGACTTCAACTGGGGAGGAGGGAGGAAAATCATTACAGAAGAAGGAAGAGGGACATGTGAAAAAATAACACCAAGGTTGTTTAATAAAGCCTCAAAATCATATTACTTAATATTTACCTAAAATTAAACACAATACATATAAGTGTATATGTATGTATGTATGTCTATATATATGTATATATCTTAAAGGAAGTTAAGGCTCTTGGGCTGAAAATGTTCCCTACAAGAACCATACACTAATAGAAAACCCAGTACTAGGCAGGAGAGACCTCTATTTGACTGGTTGGACAGGGTAGTCCAGGTGACTCCCCAAACAATATAAATTAACAGTGTAGTCATTATTTGCTTCTTAGAGGTTCTGAGATATTGAGGCTGAGCCCCTATTGCTGAAGACAGCCACACTTAGAACACAGAACTTGAATGCTTTGATCTGGATCTGGCCTGAAAGCCTCTTTCCAGTGGTCTACCTCTACGGTTTGAGAAAATTCTATGCAAGCTGCCAAGGGGTTGGGGGAGGTAAGGCAAAGCAATGAAGCAGTCCTACCCAGCAGCATCACCTAGGGACCATGACAATGACCAGCATGGTAAGACAAACATGAAGGAGGAATAAGTGGCACTCACATGGCCTTGGTAACCAACAGCTGTGTTGTTCTTTTGAGCTTTGTGGTATAGAAAAGGCATGTGGGTCATACATGCTGCCTGAAGAATGTAGTGATGTGAATGAAAACCAATAACGTAATTATTTTAGTAACTAAGAATGGAAAACACCCTTCTACCTTCTAACTAGAAGTAAGCTTCCCTAACCCTAACCCTGACCCTTGGGGAAAATTTTCTTTCAGAGTGAAAAATGCTAACAAAATTCCTTTTTGTTAAGGGGAAGATGATTGACAGTTTTCTTTTTTAAAGTGTGTTGCTACATTTTAATGCAAAGCAAGTCTATAATATAAATAAGTTCTTTTGGAGGGTGATAAAGTGAGCTGTTCATATTTGAGAGTGGGATAAATTGTGTGGAGGATAAGATGTTTCTAGAATCTCTTCCCTGACCAATACTATACTTATTGATAAGTATATCATTTACTGATTAGTAATTTCACCCTGAAGAAGAGGCTCTGAATATATCTCTTATTCTTCCCTTATATTAAAGATAAATCATTTATCCTGAGAAAGAAACATACCCTTTTCTATTTTTTCTGCTTTAACTACATTACTTAGAAGTAGAATCCACATATTCAGGCCCTACATAGACATAGAACCCACACATCCATGGTCTACACAGACAGAGTCTACACATCCAGAGCCTATATAGATGTACAACCCAACCATCTAGGACCCAGAAAGCCAGTTCACCTCAACTGATTTGATCAATTTGAAGTTTGGAGAAAATAAAAGCAAAAGAGATGACAACATGTTCACCTATGTGACAGTGCCAAATGGAGTAGACAAGAGATGAAATATGCAAATGGCTAAAGTTGTTTAACATTCATATTCCCCTGCTGGTGTATAACCAGAGCACTGGGATGGAGCAGGGAGGCATCAGAAGGCACCAGAGCAGTGTTAGACACAAAGGATGCTGGGCGACACCAGAAAGCCTACATATGGCTTCATGACAGTGTTTGCTTTTCTGTGTGGGTGAACTTTCACACACTACACATCAGCTGTATCCCTGTATCCTGTCCACAGTCTTGGCAAAGACATTCTTGCTGCCAGCTGCCTCTGGTAACCCTTTTGTATCCCCACTGACTCAAGTCTTGTACCATCAAAAGCTCATTTCTAGATGGGTAAAATGGAAACAACCATGCGTTTTTAATCTCATAGGATGATTGAAAAGCATGAAATGATATAGTTGACAAAATACCACATTTCCTGGAACTTCAAGTTTCACAAATTTATTTTTTGTAATTGTGACTATGTTGATCAATGGAGATACCAGAAAGTATGGTAATTTCTCTCCTAACATGTCTGGTTAATAGTGAAATTGGGCGTACAGTCTAGTCTGATCCTTTATGCCTTGCCAAGTCCGCTTTCTCCAGCTTTTGGGAGCTGTTTCCTGATTAAGGAATTTCCTTCCCTATTGCAGCAGGAGCTCAGCCTGCTTTTGCAGCTCAGAAGTCCTTCTCCATTATCACCCCTGTCGAGTGAGGAGCTGCTGTTTCTCCCACTAATCAGCAGAGCGATTGCCTATCGAGGTCAGTGGTATTGATGGCATCTGCTTCTACGGGGAATTGGTGGACCATCCGTCACTATTAGTGCTTCCCCCAGGGCTCCCACGATGTTACAAGGTGGCGTTACAGGTAAAAAAAAAAAAGATTCAGAGTTGCTGGACAGGCAGGGTTGGTGCAGTGTGTGAAGGTCAAAAGAGAATAGAACTGAGCTGTGAATTTTCACTGCAGCTGAGAGGCAGGCCTCTGCTAATGCAGGAAGGTCCCTAAGCAAAAGTGGTCTTTGTCCTTCATATTTATTTGGTTAAAGTTGCTTCCCTCATACATACCCTTCAAATGGCCCATCTTTGATTGGTTAAATTATATATATGTATTATGTACACAAATAATATATCACACACACACACACACGCACACACACACATGTCACGTCAGATCAGTGATCAAAAGTAAGCAAAGTCACTTATGAGTCTTTGTTGAAAACCTGCCTTAGTAATGCTCAGTCCTTGAGCACAGGACAATCCCAAGGGTCACAGGCTGTGGGTCACAATGACCTCTCTCCTCACATTGCAATTACAAGAAGTTGTTTTTGGAAATACATACACATCAAATTCCTGATCAACTTAGATAGAATAACTATTTAAACTGTGATTTTATGATAATTTGTAATTTAACTTTAAAATGTGTGGCTGTCATTGATACATTAGGACTGTCTCCGAATTAAAAGAGAGAGGAACTGTGAGCATACCAGTTCATAATTTTCCAAGATTAACTCTTTAGAAATGATTAGGGAAGGGTGGCTCCAAAACAGCAGAAACTGGCCATCCATTTAATGAAGGAAACCATGTGATTTCATAGCTTGCAAAGCACTGTGCAATAATCAAATACACATTTCTATTTTGCATTAGCACATGCAGTTAGAAATATGTATGTATATACAACTGTGAAATGTTAGGACCTGGTAAGAATTTATCCAGTTCCAGATAACTAACTGTCTGAAGTGAGTATGATCTGTCTTCCAGAAATGGCTTTGTGATAGTATGATTTATGGTTTGAAATATGTAAGCCTTCATTTTATGAATCACTGGAGGAAGAGTCCACACTCTGAGTATGATGGCAGAGGGGAGTGTGCACAGTAAATCTTAAGAACTTGCCTTTTACCCCATTTTCTGAAGGAGGGAGACAGAAGAGATCCTGGAAAACACCCATGAAATTGAGGCATACATCCTATTGGTCTACTCTTGCTTTATTTGAATTGGCCATTACTAATTATATAATAATAGGACTCAAAATGATATTATGACCTCTGTGTATATTGTCACATGAACAAATCAGAGAAGTTACATAGTTCATCGCCTCAAATATTTATTATTTCTTTGTGGTGAAAAAAATCTCTAAAATCGCCGCCTCCTCTAATCAGTTTTACTAGTAGTAACTAGTTCCCTGGATAGAACTTACCCTTCCTAGCTGAGCCTGTCCATCACTGTTGGCCTCCTCTAATTGTTGGGTCCTTTTAAACCACATTGCCCTTTCTCAAGCCTAACAAATCCTTAAGTTCTTTCTATTTGCTGTATTTCTTTGACTATTACATGTAACAAACTTGATTTGTAAAAACAACAACAACGTTTTATACTGAAGTTTCAAACAACCAGGTTAGAAGTACAAATTCTGTCAATAATGTAAATGTTTTCAAATATGTGGAGAGTTCTATCAGGAAGGCAGATTATCTCAGACAGCTGACAGATTTGTACAACTATACTGTGCTGTGGATATCACTCTGTATAAATAAAACACTAATTGGCCAGTAGCCAGACAGGAAGTATAGGTGGGACTAGCAGAGAGGAGAGAGAAAAAGGAGAGGGAGGCAGAGAGGAGGAGACACCAGCTGCCATTCAGGGAGCATCACGTAGAGGCAACAGGTAAAGCCACGGAACATGTGGCAACATACAGATTAACAGAAATGGGCTTAGTATAAGAATAAGAGCTAGAAAATGGTAGGCCTGAGCTAATAGCCAAGCAGTTTAAATAATATAAGAGTCTGTGTATTTATTTTATAAGTGGGCCCTGGGACTGGTGGGACTTGGTGGGAGCTGGAGAGAAATTCTCCAGCTACATTACTGGTTTAGCAACACAACTCTTGTGTGTCCCTATCCTTGAAAATCACTAGATTAGCTTAATGATTCGTTTCACTTAAATTATTTTCTTGCTATATTTCTTTTCCATGAAAAATATGAATTTGATCAGTCTGAGTCTGACACTAATTAATTTTACCAGAATCATTGCTAACTAAAATCATGGGTATTGATTTTATGACATATGCCAGGGAATTCATCAAAATAGAATTTGAAAGAAAAAAAATGTCTGGGTCTTTCTAATTGGTGGAAACCAGTGAGAATCAAGCCCAGGGTCACAGAAGTGAATAGAAACGATTTGTTAGTTGTGGTGATATTATATTCCCCCAAATATTGTGTACCTTAATAAACTTATCTGGAGTCAGAGAACAGAACAGCCACTAGATATAGAGGCCAGAAAATGGTGGCACACATGCCTTTAATTATAGCATTTCAGAGGCAGAGATCCACCTGGATCTCCGTGAGTTCAAGGCCACACTGGAAACAGCCAGACATGGTGACTCATGCCTTTAATCCCAAGAAGTGAACCTTTAATCCCAGGAAGTGAGCCTTTAATCCCAGGAAGTGATGACAAGAAGGATAAAGGTATTTAAGGTGTGAGGACCAGGAATTAGAGCTGGTTAAGCTTTTAGGCTTCTAGCAGCAGTTCAGCTGAGATCCATTCTGGATGAGGACTCAGAGGCTTCCAGTCTGAGGAAACAGGATCAGCTGAGGAATTGGCAAGGTGAGGTGGCTGTGGCTTGTTCTAGTTCTCTGATCTTCGAGCATTCACCCCAATACCTGGCTCCAAGGTTTGATTTTATTAATACGACCTGTTAAGATTCATGCTACTGTTAGTGTAGATGTAAGCAGGTATTCGCCCAGAAGGCCATGGGAATCAGCTTCTTAACTTCAAGTTTAAGAGCACATTAATGATTTCACACAGGTGATTAACCTCCTTAAATTTCTGTGGAAAAAAATACCCCAAGTTCCCTTTATAGGCTGGATGCTGTAGGGAAGAAAAACCCATGGTGAGAATTAGGATTTTTGCGACTGGAATATGGATTTCTCTCCTTTGATCATCTGACTTGATTTAATTCGACTAAATGTCAGCTCAGAGTATTGGAGACATGATAGAACACACAAGACTAACTTCTGTTGCACCCCAAACTTCTGTTCTAATGAATAAAACACATAATATATGGATCTGTGACTTGAAATGTGTAATGCGATTAAATACAGGAACAGACTGGCAAGGACTGAAGTGACTTAGATAAATTAGTTAGGTCTAATCCTGTGAAGAAGAGAAATCTGGGATGATTAGAGAGGAAGACAGGAGGGATAAAATGAGTGTGTTGGAAAGAAGCCCCCCAAAATGACATGGGATGAACATATTTGTCTCTGTAGATCTTATTTTCTGGTTCTATTAGGCAACACATGTCTTTTAGGAAATTATGTTTTAATTGAGACATCCCCGATGGGCATGTTGACCCAAGGTGAGTGCTTCCGAACTTGATGTCTCTAAGGATGTGAGTTCTTGGTGCAAACCAGAGAGAAGCTTAACAGAGTAGGTCAGCCTGACTTTTCAACCAGGATCCTGGTCTCACATATGGCAAATGAAACTTTCAGATATGGTGGTTGATGCTTCTGGGGTGTTGAAGCATTTAATAGCCAACTGTTCTAAGGGTCTGCTTATTTAACTCAGTCAGGCCCCAGCTGACAGTCTAGCCAAGCTACTTCTCTCCCGACCACATAGCATAAGACTCTATCATTCCCTTTTCTAAACTTCTTACAGTCAGAAAACAAGTGACAATCCTATCATCACTGAAACTGTAGACAAGGTAAAAGTAATAGCGGTAGTGGAAGACTGCACTGACCCTAGAGACACAGGCCTCCAATGCCTAATATCAATCTTCTCTATAACCCTGGGAGACAAGCTGGCCACCAGACAGGACTGGTTTTGAGGTGATGTTCCTGTGAGCAGTAGACACCAATAACATAGATATATATTCCACTAACCCTGCCTCCTTAATCTTGCTCAACAACTTCTTACTGTCTTTTAAGGATACTCTAACTATGTTCCCTGGGGACTAGGAATCTGAAAGATAAAAAAATTATGTTCTGGGGAGAAACAAAGGAAGGAAGGACTTAGTTGATGCTACACGTTGTCTCTTTGATGAGAGGCTAAATGCCCCGGAGAAGTCCTGTAATTAAGAAATCGATTTAAGTTTATTTTACCAGCCAGCCTCAAGCTTAGTCGACATGTAAACTTTTCCCCCCTTCCACGGAACATCTATCAGTATCTTGTTGAAAACACACACAGCTTGGAAACATTGCTTCAGAGAGAAGATGTAAAAGATCGCTTTACAGGAAGCTGAGAGCATAACCAAGCATGACTGACAGGGAAGAGATGGGCTTCTTGTTTAGAAGAAGGGGAAGAAGCACACTGATTGGGAAATAGTTCTTATCAAATGCTGCAAGATTACTTTCCTCAGTCAGAACCAGGCTGAGATTATGAACAAGACCCTCTTGTATGTGGACCCTGCTAAGGCCTTTTAAAAAGGTTTGCTCAGCATCTCAGAAGAACCGCCTAATCTCATTAGAACCAGGAGTGCAATTAGGTGCTTATAATCACCAGATCTTTCTTAAGTTTCCTAATCTTCAGTGCCAGAATTTGATGGTCATAGGAACAGAAACATCTCCTGGCTGCTACTGCTGTATCAGAAAATCAATTCATTCATATGGCCTGCAAGTGACTTTGGCTTTTAAAATGCTTCAGGTTTAGAATTCTAATTTGGAAACTTGGAAATCGTTATACCAGGTGGTGAGGTAGGAGATGGCTCGTCTTTAACTGCTGGGTGAACTGATTTCCATTCTTCCTTATTTGGGTTTTCTAAACTCAAATTGTGCTGTTGGGAAATAAGTACTCAAATTATATGATTCAGACTCCTACCGACTCCAGCCTCTTGCTCTTTTCTCTTGTCTCCATCACTCCTTACTTGTTGTTCTCTAAAAGTTGGCTCTAAGATGAGTCCCGTGCTTGGTGTTATCTGTGTTCCTCTGGTAGCCTCCTAGGCGCCATTGATCAGACGATGTCTGGCTCTCCACATTATTGTGTTAAGATCGATAGTCATCTTAATGGGGAGTAGATCATAGGGGCACAGCCAACACTACTTCTTACTCAGCCTCTTAGTGTTAAGATATGATTTAAGAATATTTTAATATCGGGGAGAAGAGCAGATAATGGCTGAAGAAATTGGTAAATAAAGCTAGGGTGATGGCCCACAGAGTGGGAAGGTAAAAGAATTCTCCTTATTCATTCAGATTTCAAAAGTTGATGTAGCAGGGTATAAATAGCTCCATTTTTATCTGTTGCTAAGGATCTAGAATTTTCAAAGAAAGCTATATGTTCCCACACACAAGTCTCTACAAAGTTATGACATTTCTCGAGAGATGCAAATAAAGAGAAACCTGGTACTACGGCCACATCCTGTCCCTACTCTGTTGTTTTGACATGTATCAATATGAATTTCCTAAGCTAGCATTGATGATTAGCCATTATCAGGTTGTAAGGATGTCTGTGAGAGGTAAACTGATTTTTGCTTAGCCTTTCTAGCTAGGATCATCTGGGTCTTGCTGATCACTGCATCTTTCAAAATGACATTCAGATACAGCAGGCTTCCTTTGCTTATTGTTTGTTTTACTGGTCCCTTGTTGTCTCTGTTCTCACACCCTGTGGTTTAAAGTAAGTCTCAAAGTTTGAGGCCCAAACTCAGGTCTTATTAAGAGGAGTGGCTTCTTCTTTGGACTGCTATAGCAAACGCTCAGAAGGCAATCCCTGCCACTGGCTCAACACTACATCTTTCCAGAGCCTCCATTTTTTTCCATCTTAGGGAATCAGAAGTGCATCCAAGGGAAGCCAGGTACCAAGGAACTGGAAACTGAAGGGAATTCCAGGTCACCATAAATAATCAGATAAGCATTCTTTCTGGAGCTCCTCACCATAACTTCTTACTGTTTCAAAAGCCCTGGAACCCACTGGAGGCCTGTGGGCTATTTTTGGATTCTGGGACAATGTTGTATCCAGTTGTCTTTGCTTTGAATATCTGGACACGTAATTGCTGTTGCATTATTTTATCACCCAAACCATCCTACAAACTACTCTTTAAACTCTGTATATAAAAATATTTATACTATATAAATCTATATTACATACATAATCTGTGTGTCTGTGGTTTTGTGGGTGCATATTTATGTTCCTGTTAAAGTTCAGGAGTACCCATGCATGTGAATGTCAGAAGACAACCTTGGATGTTGGTCCTCATCCTTCACTTTGTTGGAGACAGGGCTTTATCACCATAGTATATGCACAGCCAGGTGCCCATGACTTTCTGGATAGTCTCCCATCTCTGCTTCCTGTTTTACTCTAGGGGTGCTGGAATCACAGATGTGTACTACTCTGCCTTTTGCGGAGGGTTGGGGGTACAACTCAAGTATTCATGCCTACTTGTGCATTGAATGCTTTACCGACTAAACCTAGCTCTAGGTTTTAAAAACTAATGTAATTTAGGGGTTTTTTTTGGTTGTTGTTGACTTTTCCTCTATACAGGATTAGTTATAGGTAAGAAACAGATGCACAGGGTTCACTCTGCCCTTTAGTAAGGATGCTATTGAGGATGTGAGATGTTATACCACTCCACAATTTATCATGTTCCATACTGCAACATTGTTACCTGAAGTTACAAACAAGAAAAACAAACAAACAAAAAAACAACCTACCTTCCCAGTGAACCCCAGTGTATTACTTTCTGCATTCCTTCTGGAATGTGGGGTCCAACAGTGGGATGCTTTCTATCTTATAGATACTTGAAGTTGTATAACTTAGAATGACATTTCCTCGTTTAGAATTTATTATTGAAAAAAATCAGAGTCGAACTTAGACTTTCAAAAAATGCTTGGTTTTGGGATATGCATTTTAAAACTAAATCTATTCCTAATTCAGTGTTTTTTTTTTTAATTTCAGAGACTATACTATAACATCTTTCCCTTTAATTTCTTCCCCCCAAACCCTCCATATATCTCTACTTGCTCTCTTTCAAATTCATGGCCTCATTTTCCATCAATTGTTATTACAAGTGCACACACACACACACACACACACACACACACACACACACACACACACGTATATATGCCAGTGTTAAACATTACCTCTGTTTTGCCCTTTAAATTTTTTCTTTGTTATTTTTCTCAATTCAAGTGTCTTAAAGTATTTTCAGAAATAATTAACATGGTAAATAAGTAAATAAAACAGAGAAAATCTTCATTCCAGTTCCTCTCTACCTCAGCATGAGTTGCATTGAAGAACGTATCTTTTGTTTGGTTGTGTGCTTCTCTTTTTATCCACCACCACTTTGTCTTGGTTCCTTGGGGACCCAGCCTTTCATCTTCTCCTATTTATCGCTTTTGATGTTCCATCATTATTATTATTGATTTGAGAGTGCACTACTGATAAGAACATAGTCTACACTTTTATATTAAAAAGCAACTTCTGTTCAAAAGAATATGGATGAACGTAAGTTACAAGTAAAATAACAGCACAGCATTGTTACATCCAGAGATAGAATTCACTGAGTCCCAAGACTTCTTCCTCCACAAATCAAGATGAAACAGACTATTTTGAAACTGGATGCTGATGCTCCTCTTATTATTAAGTGACAGCAATCTTCATTCACTTTATTAGCTCTGTTTCAGAGTGTCCTTTGAGGTGCTGACTGTAGGTTTATAACATTGAACTTTGAGTGCCGCTCTACCAAGCAATTCATTGTGGTCTGTCATGGTACAACTCTTTACCTGAAGTCACAAAACAACAAAAACTCAAATCTTGAAACTTCACATTTTATTGACTTTAATGCCACAAAATTATCCCTGGGCTTTGGACTGGCAATAGCCAATAGGCAGCAAGGTGATAGGAGGAGTGGTGTTAGCTAGGGAGCACTCAGACACAGGCTGGGGTGATGTCGAGCATGAGCAGACCTGCAGCTGACTTTTAATGTCCTCCTCATTTCGTGACAATCATAAGACGTAGAGTTCAAAGAATATTTTAGCTTCAGAAAGTGCAGAAGCAATGGTTTTGGAAAATTAGGAGGCTAAAGTAAGTAAGAAATCTGGTGTGCTGAGAACTTTCCAAACTAGAAATCCTTGATTATCTTTCAGCTCCCCTATGGTGGCAACCTTCAAGCATTGGTCACTGTTGCCTGCCTGTTTCCTCCTTGTTTATCCAGTCCCTCTGCTCCCAGCTGCCACTCCCCTCCATCCAGAAATGGGTTGAAATTGTTTCTCTGGGCTGTGCTTCTCTTACATTTCTAATTCAATCACTTTTCCAGAAGAGCTGGGGCTAGCCCAAATTCTGGCTTAGCCTCCAGGGAGTCTTGGACTTAGAAAGCAGGGACTGGTTTTGCCTACCATCTTAATGGGGTCAAAGTCAGAGGGCCTGTAGGAGGTGTGGATGCAGCAGACCTCAGGATGCTGTTAGAGGGTTAAAACCAAGCCCCTGTGGACTTCTCTGGATTCCAGAGCCTCAAAACTTCTGGTGGACAGGAAAAAGATAGGGGAAAAGCACTTTAGTTCTGGCAGTGATTTATTGGATGAGAAAACATACAAACCATAACAAAAGAACACAGGCAAAAATCCAAAGAGCAACAAAACTAGTAAGGGAATTTCTCACTACCTCTGTGGATGGTCTCCTTCCCCACCCATATATGGACATTATGGTTGGGCATGAAGTTAGGATGGAGGTTTGGGGGCCATACCAGGAGAGAGGGTCAAGGTAGAGGAAAGGGGGATGCTTATTTTGCTTTATTGTATACCTGCTGAAATTCTCAAAGAACAAAAGAATTAACAAATAACATTTAAGGAAACAAAACCAAACAATTGAGAGGACATTAACCCAAAACTGTACAAATAAGTGAAACAATAGAAGGAAAAGTTGAATTGTGGATTAGGATAAATATTTGTAGATCATATGTGCAATATGACGATATATGTGTACACACACACACACACACACACACACACACACACACATACACACACACACCAAAGTCAAGGAATAAAAAGGAATGGGAAAGTTTCCAATTTGAAATACTAAAAGGATCCAAATAGAAAATGTTCCAAGGAAGATATGTGACTGGACAACAGATACATGGAAAGGCTTTCAGCATCACCATCCACCTAGGAAAGGCAAACTCATCTCCCTGTGATCTACTACCTCATAGCTGTCCAGTGGCTGTTTTCAAAGAGACAGAAAGTGTTGATGAGGCTATAGGGGGATGTTAAAACTCTACACTGTTGGTGCGATCTAAAATTTGCACAGCTATTATAGAAAATAGGGCAATTCCCAAATTAAAAATAGAAATATTGTACGGCCCAGTAGTCCCTTTTGTAGATTTAAAGCTAAAAGATATAAGCTCAGTTCCTTCAAGAGGCCCCTACTTCCATATTTTCTGCAGCACTATAGACAGGAGACAAGCACAGCATAGTCTATTCAATAGATAACTGCTGGATAAAGAAACACACACACACACACACACACACACACACACACACACTCATACACACATACTAACTCATACAAATTACTCCTAAGTGTATATGTAAGTGTGTGTATATATATATATATATATATATATATATATATATATATATATATATTTATGTTTATAGATGTACATATACAAATTTGAATATGCTTCAGAATACCATTCAGCCTTACCAAGAAAGGCACTCCTACCGTTTGTAACATGATATATATCAATTTATTAGACATTATTTAAGTGAAATAAGCCCAACACAGAAAAAGATGGCATGGTTGTTCTTATACGTAGAATCTAAAAGAAATGTTGAGACCATAGGGAAAAACAATGGTTGCTAGAAGTGAGAGTGTGCATATGTACAAAGAGGTCAAAGGCACAAAGGCAGAGGTAGTAGGATCACAAAGTTAGAGACAAAATGTTTTGCATGAGGATGACAGTATATTGTACCACATATTGGATGTATGCCAGCCGAATAGATTTTAGGTTCTCTTATTAGAAAAAGATCCCTATGTAAGATGATGGATATGTTAATTGGGGACTGTAATCATCATTTTGCCATGTAGATGTAAATCAAAATGACATGTTATGCACCTTAAAGACATGAGATTAAGAAGAAATCTTAGAGGAGATGAATGAGTGAGTCCCCGGGTTCTTCCCCTCCTGAGCCTGGAATGGGGAAGGTAGGGGACTCAGGGTGTCTCCCTCCTGCTTTCTAATGAGCCTGTCAATCACCTTGCTTGTAGTCAGCTGGCACACAGGGAAATATAAGACTGCCTTCTGCCACCTGGAAACCTACCCTTCACCTTCCCACAAAGACTGTCACACATTTAGAGGAACCAGGCACCCAGAGACAATAAAGGAAGCATATTTACAGGAGATGTTAGTAGCAATTTAACAACAAGAAGGGTCATAAACAAAAATAGATTGTGTTTTAAAGGAAAAAAATGGAAGCTTGGTTTTAGAATAAATTTTCAACTGTTTCTAAAATTATTGCCTTGGAATAGGAAGTAACAGAAATATTTCTAAGTTATAATGGAAAAAAGATCTTTAGGGTATGTCAAGGTGATCAGCTCAAACACAAGAACATCTCAATAACCACTACATTGTTGAGCAGAAGGATCATATGGAGAATATGCAGTTATTTCAGCGGGACTGAACATCCTTGCTTTGAATACACACTTGAGCCACAGATCAAGTGAAACTTTAGGTTTCAGAATGATTGAATACCCTGGGCACAGGCTGGCAAAAATCCCAAAATTTAAGAACTCAGAGAAATCCCTTAAACACAGGATGCCTATGGGGCCATAGGGAGGACAATGTTATGCTTCTGCATAATTATGGTTTATGAACAAATTTTACTGACTCTTGTGACTTGAACTAAAAACCTAGTTCATGGCTGGCTGGTTAGAAATTTCTGTTTTGCAGAGATAACTAGTGAAAGACATGATCAGGAAGAAATGCATAGGTTGCAGACTTGTACGATATAGCCACTCCCGGTGCCCCTGCTGAGAGATTTATTTCTGT